TATATAATATATCATTATCACAGATTACATCTGAGATCTCAAAACAGTAAAAAGAAAATACATATAGGTAATTTTAAAAAAAAAAAATTACACATATGTTTGAAAAAACTCTCCACAGGGTTGAAGGAAATGAATACTTGGGCATAGGCTTTGTTCTCCTGTCAGACATTTCCCAGAATGTCAGACATTTCCCAGGAACAAAGCCTTCATAACCTACAGCATTTTTATTTTTTCTGTTATTATAGACCAAAATAATAATCAAAAGAAACATTGTATCAGAGAAGCACTTCAATTTGTCATAACCCAGAATGTAGAACATGCTCCTCCTGCTGCAATTGTTGAGGCAATAAATAAATTAAATGAAAAATAAGAGATGCTATCACTGAATTCCCCGTAACACTGTAAGAAGAGAAAACACCACTGATAAATCTTCATCTATTTCATTCACAAAAACACTTGAGCTTGAGACTGATGATTTCAGCTTTACAGGATCATGTTCTTGTTTAGTAACTCCATTACTCTCTTAATTACACCTTGCTGTGACTGATAAAGACCTTTTTACCGTAGAGTTTGGGATGTCTAACAGAGTCACAGAAAAGTTAGGCTGCAAGGGATGCCTGGAAATCTACCTGTTCAAAGCAAGGCTAATGTCAAAGTAATACTGGGCTGCTCAGGACCTTGTCCAATTGAGTTTTTTGTCTATGTCCTACAGAGCTTCAGTTCAGCAGAGACCAATCCTATGAAAGCCAGGAAATACAAAGAGAAGGCATCACCAGTGCCACTGTAAAACTGCTTTGCTGAAGCTGTCAAAAGTCACCAAGAGTTTACCAGGCTCCAGGCAGAATACCTGCACTACCTTTAGAGGTGAGAGGTTTCATTACAGCAAGCTAGCACAGCTGCGAGACCAGCATGGGTGGACAATATGCCAGTAGAAAGGCTGAGTGCGTCTGACACGAAGAAGAGGTACAAAAGTTTGGTAGAAGATGGTGATAAATAATTTATTCTGGCTCAGAATCCTTCTGCTATAGAGAACTGTCTGCAAGTAAATGGTATATATAAGGACGGGTCGCTGATGACAGGATCAGTGAAAGAGGAGCATTTAACAGCACTAAAGAGTTGTAAAATTTGTCCATGTGGTGTTGCCATCGAGCAGCCTCAGAATTTGAACTGCCGGTGGAATGTTTTTTGAGAACTTGCCCAAACACAAGTCGTGCCAAGGCAGAGAGGGTTTGAGGACCTCCTACATGCATTATTCTCTTGGGCAACCTGCTCTCTCTGCAGATACCTGATCTTCCTGCGCAGTGTCCCCGTAGAAAACACCTCCTTGCATTAAGAGCAGACTTGCAGTTAGGTTCAAGTCCCTCTGCTGGATTTCATGGATTCAATGATTTATCTTGAGGTCCCCTTAGATTCTGGTTCACATAAGGGAATAAAAGGAGATGTTCAGCTCTATGGAAAAGGCAACTTATTCCTCCTTTCTCTTATTCTACCTGCTCTCCAAGTTCACATGCACAGGGAGAGATAAGAGGTCACAGACAATGACTTCTGCAGGGAGAGGGCTCACTGAAATCCAGCTTGCTTGTACATGGGAGCAGAGACAGTGGGATAAAAATGCCCACATTGTCCCAAAATATGGCAGCTGTCTTCTTCCAACTGTCATTACTTTCCAGGATACCATTCTGAACCACCATTCTCCCTTCCAGTTTCCACTGGAGTTCCTATGGTTCTTTTCCACAAGTCAACCAACCTCCTCTTTTCCACTCACTTGTCACAGGACTCATTAAGCACCTCATTTATTTGCTTATTTTTACTCTAAATATTGCCTGAAAGACCATATGATAGTCAAATCATGTTTTATATATAAATGTATGTTAAATATGTGTTTTCAATTAAATAACAGCCAATCCCTTCAAATCTGAATCCTCAAGAAGACATTGTAACCTATAGTATAGTTATATACTGTATGCCTATAGTTATTTCTCTGATTTTCAGCAAAGGCAGAGTCCAAATTCACAACACCTAGGTGTAAATTCAGATTCTGAGCCACTAACATCTTTGGAAATGGGTAGGGGAAACCATTTTGGCAAAGTATTTCTGCACACAAAACTTCCATTTGCTTGGTGAGCAAAACCCTACACTTCACAATGCATTAAATTCAGCCTCCCAAATGAGAGGTAGAGTGTAGTGAAGAAAATGTCAAGAAACTGGGATTAGCTGAAGAACTATCAAAAAAGTCAACAACAAAAAAACATGACGGAATCTGTCTACTTCAAGAAATGCTGTGGGGTCTGCCCACACTGAGACTGCAATCTCAGAAATCTCTTGCTCAAACGATCCCTAGTTTTCATCAGTTCATCACTTTGTATAGCATCCTATGGATTTCACAGTAATCCAAAGCAGCACAAAGACTTCAGAGCCCTTATGCTGCAGCCAAACGGACCTGCAGTATACCCCAGGGTTCTGGTCCCTCTATCATCTGGGGACCTGGCCAGGCACTCTGCAGCGCCCATCTGCTGCACACAGATGGGCTTCCTCGCAAAAGAACAAAAGCAGGAGGGAGGGGGCTGCCACACATCCTAGTTGTGCCCTGATATGCCCTAGACAGACTGTGACCAGGGCATATACCTCTCCTCAGGCACTCAGATGTATTCCCAGGTTCCATACTCTAGAAACAGTCTTAGAAAACCTCGTTTTTAAGCTCATAGGCCTTCTTAACTCTGTGGCAGAGTTGGCACTCTGCTTTGCTCTAATACACACTGAGCCTTCAGCAGAAAAGAGGCATGCTTAATTACTTATTTTTAAATGTGCGACAGATATGCAACAATTTCAATGTCTAGACTATAATTTACATAAATACATTTTAAAGCAAAACATTTTAAAATTATTTATTTCCTGCTTCTATGCTTAAGTGCTTTGCTGGATTGGGGCCAGACTGCAGGATCGAACCAAAGGTGCATAAATCAAACCTTCAAAGAAATACAATGTTCACAAGGACTGTATATGGTTGAGCAAATTTAGAAGAATGAAACCAACTATGAAGAGAAATTAGATTGGCTGAAAATTAATAAAGCACAGCTGGAATTATTCGATTTATCCATATTTGTTGCTTAAATGGCTCTAGGGCTAAGTCTTGCTGAAAGAAGATACTTCAAGACTCAGGGGTCAATTGCTTTTGAAGACAAATTGACCTACAGAAATACACTTGTCTAATTTGGTTCTTGCAGTGGGGCAAGTCTACAGAAATATATAACCAAAAAACCAATTTAGATTCCAGTGAGTGGATATCAGAGGTCAAGTTTAAGGTTCCCATAAATTTACATAGATACACTAGAAGATTAATAACTTTTCAAGCTACTGGGTTTATTTGCTAAAAGCAAAGACTTACAGATAAAATCTGAGAAAGAAACAACATATGTGCTTATTCCACATTCTGTTGGATAGATACCACGCAGCCAGCTCATTGCTTGTTGCTGTGGCTAGCCCTGCAGTATTTCATACAGTTTGGTCATACTCAGGGAGTGCAAGTAACACTATTGCTGGCTCAGCTCCTAGAATAACGCATGTTCAGATATAACGATTGTTAATTTTGAAACTAATTTTATGTGCCAGTTCAAATATTACACTTCTAGTTAACTGGTCTTACTATAGCTATTAGTTATACTCTGAGATCTGTACCCAGCCATATAGTTGTTATATAGTTTGCAGTGAGGCCTTCTGAATATGCTTATCCACTCTAAACATAATGATTTTCTTCTAGACAGATTTTATATATCTATACATCAATATTGTTTCCTATTCAAAATTAGGATCATACTTTATAAAATAGCACCAAAATGGATGAGTGTTAAAATATAACAATACAGTTTTAAATAAAAAAAAAATATTTTAGATATACACAAGCCCCAAAGCTGGCATTAACCTTCCAATAAACCTACAAAACTTAACTCCAGAATTTACTTGGGCACATAATGAACATTTCACTCTCACTAAATATTAACCTTTAAAGATACAATATTTTTCATCTTCAAGTTGGAGTCTTTTAAATTCAGCCAAAGCAAAAATAATATTTCTAGATAGGTAATTTGCCAGGAATGAAAATGAAAAAATAAATTCACACATTACACTGTAAATTATCAGAACTCTGACCACTGTACCACTGATAAACGTCTAGGAAATAGATAGTTGTACATAGAAAAATACTTTCAATAACTCCAGAAGTTTTTATTTTCTTCTTTTCACTATTACCAGGATCAATAGATATTTATATATATATATATATATATATATATATATATATATATATATATATATGCTGACTAACAATACCTTCAGAAAATTTACAAGGCAGTTAAATGCTCACCCTTTCATTTAGAGTTGGTTTCAAACACATTAGTGGTCAGAAGGAAAGAATAACACACTAAAGAATAAATTACATTAAATCTTTTCAGTTCTCTTTTCTTAGAGCCACACAAGTTCGTGATATTTTCTACATTTTTCTTCTCAAATCATGAACTATATTTTATAGAAGTATATAAAAAACCATGTTACATGGGAGATGCAATGTTCTGTGATTTTCAAACTGCAAAGGCCTAAAATTGGAAAAATTACATGATTCAAACATGAGGAAGAGAGTCATTTTACTGGGTTTTGGTTGGGTTTAGGTTTTGCTTTTTTTACAGTAATCCATTCTTTATTTCTTAAGTGATTAAGAAACTGTACCTCCTATAGCCATTAAGTAAAGAGATCCTAGAAACTGGAGTAAATTTCTGTCTAAAATAAGCAACTTTTCTTTAAAAGAAAGATTAAAAACTCTAGATAAGTAGCTCTGAGACAAGTTCACTCCACTCTGGATGTATTCAAAGTAGAAAGATTATGTTATTTGCACAACGTCACGTAATTTTTATGATGCAGCAAGTTTAGACCCCATGTATCAGTATTATTTGTATACCCAAAGGCTTCTGGTTATCTCAGATCTACAAATGAAGCGTTGGTGAGTTTACCTGTATAGTCCTCTGAGTGCCATCAACGGTGACAGACAATAAGGGTGAAGCCAGGTTCCACTCGCTGGTCACGTTTAGTTTCATCCCATCAACTTCCACCTGTTGTGACACCAAACAAGGCTGTTACTATGAAGACAGACAGAAAACTGATCTCAAGTTCATTACTGCATACAAAGCAGCAACCATTTTAAAACAGATGGCTCCCAAACAACCTGTCATGTTTACTGCTTCTGCCATAAAAGACAAGGTCCAACAACAGAGTCTTCCAGCTATCTCTGGGGAGAGGTGAAGGACCTGTGAACAGCTGCCTCTGAGTAGCAAGGTTTCAAGTGATTTCCAGCAAGTAACAAACAGCCATCCAACTTTTAAACCTATCTGGACATGCTACATTTACTGCAATTAGACAAGTAATGCATATAAATTCCAGTGACACCTTGCAACCCACACAACAGGGCTTGCATATAATATTCTCTCCAAGGACCAAGGAAGAACTTTTCCTACGCTTCTAATGAAGGTTTTGCATTGTTATCTTAATTAATATGAGGCAGTAATTAATTCTTCGGTGTTTTGCCTCAAAGTCTAGAAAAACTTTGCAAATTCTGTCATGTTTTCTTCCAATATGCACCTAATCAGAGGAATACAATTTCTGACTTGAATGCCCATATGTTTATCCAGAAATATTTTTTTTAAATCATCCCATAATCTTTACACAAAAATATTTCTAGGTGAAGAGCAAAAATTCTGAGTTCTGAAGAAAGTGTAGATCAGAGTAGCTGTAATGACACTTCTGTCATTCTTTTGTTGTATAATACTGTTTAAAAACACACATCACACATTTCAACACTAAGGGTCTCAGAGGAAGCACTGGATTATGAAAAAAAGTAAATTACTGTACATGGACTAATATAATTAATGATTAATATTTGTGGCATGTTTTGAACACTCATCATGCTATCCAAGGTAGGTAAATATGATTTCAGTTATATATTTTACTATAAACAGAAGAAAAAATCATGGTTGGCTGATTTCCTTCCTCTCTCAAAATCTCCAAAGTATTTTCCATCAGACAATATTGATAATGACACAAATATTGAATACATTCTCAGGAAACTAGAAGAAAATTACTGCATTTAGAATAAAAGCTGACCCCACGTTTTGTGAAACAAAACTTACAAAGCCTACTCTTCTAGATCTCAGACTAATGATTATTTCATTTTATAATAAGAACGGGCAACTGTAATCTCAGTGTAACTTAAAAGAAATCCATTAACAGAGAGGTACAGAGCAGCAATGTCTAATTTGATAAATTTTTTTTCAGTTAAGAAGAAAAAATTCAGGCTTAAAAACCCCTCTAATTTATAGACTTTAGTTTAAAACACAAAACCTGTCTTTTAGTGATACAATCTACTCAATTTCTACAGGCTTTAACTATAAATAAAGTTACATCTAAAGAACATGAAGAAAAACAAGTCCTTTATAATGGTTCACCAATAGGCCAGATTAGTTGGCATGCTTCAGGTACTTTACACTGCTTCAGTGATGCAAACCAGCCATAAACCTGGCTTGAGTTAAACCAGACCTGCAGCTGGTTTGCATTGCCAGAGCACTGCAAAGCAGCTGGAACATGCCAGGGAACCTAGCCTGCTCTCAGCAAACCTGAATCAGCAAATACTGTCTTTATTGAGAAAAGCAGAAAAATCTGAAAAAGACTTTCCAAACGGAAAAAAGCAAACCCAGTGCTCTGTCTCATCCTTCTTTGATTACCAGTTGAACTTCGGTAAGGCAATTATTTTAAAAGCTGTCTGTCGCTATCGCTATAACCAAGGAAAGACTGTCTATACTGGAGTCTGGGTCTGAAAACCTCATTTACCATGTTTCTCCAGAGGAGGAGACATGGCATAAAAGCATATCAGGCCACTGGCCACCAAAAAAACTTCAACTGTACACTGTTGCACTGTAGGATTTACATGTGGCCTCACAAAAAATCTGTAGCTGATTATCTATAGTCCTACTGAAGGGTGTTCCAGTGGCAAGATGCAAGTCAATGCCTCCACAACAAACTCAATTTAATCATTAGCTCTTTTGTCACAGTACAGATGAACAGAAGAAAGGTAAACCAAGTGTATCACGGAGCTAAATGACCTGTTTAAAATCCCTTGCAAGGTTCTATACAAGTCTAGCCATCATCAATTCCAGATTACATTAGTATTAAAAAATTTCTGGTGGAAATGACCCTGAAAGAAGAGATGCAAGCAGTCAGATGGTAGGTGTAAACAAATCATGGCACTCTAGGAACACTATGGTTGCTTACGTGAAATAGAAAGAAGAGCAGACAGCATGTTGCCTCTTACTATGTTTTCCCTGTTCAAGAAAGAATAAAGAAAGGGCCAGGGTAGGGGGGAAGAGTTATTTGAACTAAAGCATAGCCCAGTAAACTGCAGCAGTCTTCTCACAGAACATAATTACAGACTCTTAGCTGCTTTCACCTGGGGCTCACCACAATATGTGCAACTGGGGAAGATGATGTGAAGCACGAGGATCATATTGAAGTCAGCTATCTCTGCTCCAATAGGTAGGATGACAAAGCCAGGAGGTCAAGCCATCAGAGAAAACGAACAAGGACTGAGTGTAAGACATATACCATGTAGTGAGCATGTTACTTTCACTACAAAGGAGAGGAAAGCAGAAAACCAAAAACCAGATGGTGGCTAAAATTAAATAAGTGCTTTAACTAATAAAGCAAATCTTCCTTCTGCAGTTCAGCAGCCAACTGCCTAGCAAGGTTAGTTGGTGGAGGTAGGGGAATAGATAAGACATTAGAAGAACCTGTCAGAAGTTTGCCTTTGCCTTCATTCCTCCTCCAGCAACGGATATGATAATAGAACCTAACGAATACTGCAACAAAACCAGGGTCTTTTTGCTTTAGTCTTGAGGGGGATGAAGTGGGACACAGGGACAACTAAGAGTTACATTGACTATCTCCTGTTTTATTTTGTTTCTGTGCTCACAAGACAGCCAGGAACAAATTATCACTCAATGGGTACTAACACTTGAAGTGGGAGAAGAAATCACTCGCCTAGCTTTATCGTGAACTACTCAGGTTCCACATGTATGCACACGCATGTATGCATGCATATATTCATTGTGTTGTATTGTGTGGGGGAATTACTCTACAGTAACTATGGTTGTTTGAACCACTGCTACACTACATCAGTGTGTCATGGTGGTGGTGGATTTTTATTTTAAATAGGATTGTTTGTCCCTGTGTAAGGGCATAAAAGATAAAAGAAGACACGGTCCTCCTTTACAATTATTTCCAATTCAAAAGCTATTGTAAATGAGGTCTCAGAAAGAAGAATGACAAGTCCAAGACACGATGCTAGAAGAAGGTCAACAGCTTACTCTACTGTCACAACTTTGCAGACTTTCGCTGGCATGCACCTGAACTACATAAGTAGCAGCCCCTTCACCTCTTGTGGACTGAGTTCCTGATGTTCAGCATGATAGGTACCAGCTAACCAATAGTGCAAAGAGCTGCAAAGCATAATCTGCATTCAGTTTCCTTTAGAGAACATAATTTGGCATTCTATATGCATGTCAGGCAATTAAAGGAGGCAGCACAAGCCTGAGTGTTATAGCCCTGTTAATTTACTAATGCAGAGTCTCGCATACATCTGGCACATGTCACTTCTTTTCTCCTGGAAATGAAGGTGGTTTTCCAGGAGACTGGAGGGCAGCTCAAGCATTTGTTTCCTGCCTGATGCTTCAAAACATTATGCCTGAAGTTCCTCATGCCAGCCTTGAGTCTGACTAATTTAAGTCTGCTGACTTAATCCCATGGTTCAAATTTTGCCTCCCAGCACTGTGTTTAACTCAACTTTAACTTGATGCTTTTGGTTTAACTCCTGGCCTATATAGTCCTGGCCCTAACTACCGGGTTATACCACCCCTACCCCGATTCCTTACATGCCTTAATTCTACCTCTTGTTATAGCAGAACTGATGGCATGCCCTAGTCAATCAGATCAACCAAATGAAAAGTCATCCTCTGCAGACCTGCCTTCCTGAAATCAAGGCAGCTGCCCATGAAGATAAGATGTTACCTTTCAGGAAAACAAACATTACTATTCACAGGTCATTTATAAATATTCAGTGTCACAGACTCCAATCCCTTCAACTGGCATTTACTTAGCTGTAAATCTAAGGCACATCCAGTGGGCAGCAAGAACTCTACAAACTGAAACCTTAAAATCATCCTGCAAGGAAGGGGCAATGGAAACAAGCACTGCTGTCGTAAACATGATGTAGCATTGATGTCTAAGGACTTTACTCAAGCCTACACCAGGTAAAGATGTCTTCTTCTCTGAGAAAAGTAACTGTCTTGAGCAGAAGCCTCTTCATCTCCATTACTGCTAAACATCACCACCCATGCCAAAATAGCAAGGAGATTCTTTTCATTTTTATGAGTCAAGTAAAGGATAGGTATTGCTTCTTGTGCAGAAGAGGAGGCAAGCAGAGGACTTACAGCGCAGTGTGGCAATATAAGGTCCAGCTATAGGCAGCAGTATTCAGTAACCGTTAGTCTGCAGTGATCTCAGACTAAGCCAAATTGATTTGGACAAAGCAGCTTTTGGTTCCCAAACAGTTTTCACAAAATTCCTGAAATTTTCATCTAATCCACTGTCCAGCTAATGGAGAAGTACATGGAATGGAAAAGGCAAGTAAAAACTGTCCTATGCCAAAGCTATCATCCCTTGCCTTTTGCAGTCTCATGTATCCTTAGGAATGAAAGCAAAGTCTTTATGGGGCTAATGAGGCTAAGGCTTCCTTTAGAAGCATGATGCACGAAACCCCAGGAATAAATATTTTGCTAGTCCTCAACATAAAAAACCCCTCTTTCCCAGTCAGCAGGAGATCTCAAACACTATCTTGCATCTCTCTGTATATTCCCAAAACTAATAATCACAACACACTTCCTTATCATGAAAATGATCAGTCACCCAGAGAATGTAAGCACTTGTCATTTGCAGAGCTGTCTTGGCAATAATTGGGTCTTGCTGTACAATTTTCTCCAACTCCCCCACATTGTCTTTAAGTACT